ACATTCCATACTAATAAAAGGGAAAATAGACCAAAAGGAAATAACAGTTATCAACCTATATGCACCCAATGTCAACACACCCAATTACATCAAACATACTCTGAAGGACCTAAAAGCATACATTAACTCCAACACAGTGGTCGTGGGAGACTTTAAAACCCCACTATCCTCAATAAGACAGGTCACCTAAACAAAAAATCAATAAAGAAATCCTAGATCTAAAACACACCATAGATCAAATGGACCTAGTTGATGTCTACAGAACATTTCATCCAACTTCTACACAATATATTTTTTCAGCAGCCCATGGAACCTTTCTCCAAAATAGATCACATCCTAGGGCACAAAGCAACCTCAGCAAATATAAGAAAATAGAAATTATACCATGCATTCTATCTGATCACAATGCAGTAAAAGTAGAACTCAACAATAAAAGTAAAGACAAAAAATATGCAAACAGCTGGAAACTGAATAACTCATTGCTTAATGAACAATGGGTCACTGGTGAAATAAAAGAGGAAATTAAAAGGTTCCTGGGAGTCAATGAAAATGAAAACACAACCTACTGGAACCTATGGGACACAGCAAAGGCAGTCCTGAGAGGAAAGTTTATAGCTATGAGTGCATATATTAAAAAGAATGAAAGATCTCAAATCAATGACCTAATGCTACATCTCAAACTCCTAAAAAAACAAGAACAAGCGAATCCCAAAACAAATAGGAGAGAAATAATAAAAATAAGAGCTGAAATCAATGAAACAGAAACCAAAAAAACCATACAAAGAATTAATGAAACAAAAAGTTGGTTCTTTGAAAAAATAAACAAGATCGATAGACCCCTGGCAAACCTGACTAAAATGAGTAGAGAAAAAAGCCAAATCAGTAAAGTCAGGAATGCAAAAGGGAAGATAACAACCAACACCATGGAAGTCCAGGAAATCATCAGAGACTACTTTGAGAACCTATATTCAAATAAATTTGAAAAATCTTGAAGGAAATGGACAGATTTCTAGATATTGAAGCAGCAATCACAAGAGTCTCCCAAAAGAAAAGTCCAGGACCTGATGGATTCTCTGCTGAATTCTATCAGACCTTTAAAGAAGAACTGATACCCACCCTCCTTAAACTGTTCCATGAAATAGAAAGGGAAGGAAAACTGCCTAACACATTTTATGAAGCCAGTATTACACTTATCCTAAAACCAGGCAAAGACACCTCCAAAAAGGAGAATTATAGGCCAATCTCCTTAATGAACATTGATGCAAAAATCCTCAATAAAATAATGGCAAACCAAATTCAACAACACATCAAAAAGATCAGTCACCATGACCAAGTAGGCTTCATCGCAGGAATGCAGAGATGGTTCAACATATGAAAATCAGTAAATATAATACACCACATTAACAGAAGCAAAGATAAAAACCACTTGATCATCTAATAGATGCAGAAAAAGCCTTTGATAAGATCCAACACCATTTCATGATAAAAGCTCTAAGAAAACTAGGAACAGAAGGAAAATACCTCAACATCATAAAAGCTATGACAAACCTACAGCCAGCATTATACTTAACAGTGAAAAACTGAAACCATTCCCTCTAAAATCAGGAATGGGACAAGGATGCCCACTATCTCCACTCCTATTCAACATAGTACTGGAATTCCTAGCCAGAGCAATTAGGCAAGAAGAAGGAATAAAAGGAATACAAATAGGTAACGAAACTGTCAAAATATCCCTATTTGCAGATGATATGATCCTATACCTTAAAGACCCAAAAAACTCTACTCAAAAGCTCCTAGACACCATCAATAGCTATAGCAAGGTAGCAGGATATAAAATCAACATAGAAAAATCATTAGCATTCCTATACACTAATAATGAACAAACTGAGAAAGAATATATGAAAACAATTCCATTTACAATAGCCTCAAAAAAAAAAAAAATCAAATACCTAGGTGTAACCTTAACAAAGGATGTGAATGACCTCTATAAGGAAAACTATAAACTTCTGAAGAAAGAGATTGAGGAAGACCATAGAAAGTGGAGAGATCTCTCACGCTCATGGATTGGTAGAATCAACATAGTAAAAATGTCTACACTCCCAAAAGCAATCTACATGTTTAATGCAATTCCCATCAAAATCCCAATGACATTCATCAAAGAGATTGAAAAATCAACCGTTAAATTTATTTGGAAACACAAGAGGCCACGAATAGCCAAGGCAATACTCAGTAAAAAGAACAACGCTGGAGGTATCACAATACCCAACTTCAAACTATATTACAAAGCAATAGCAATAAAAACAGCATGGTAATGGCACAAAAAGACATGAAGACCAAGTGGAACAGAATAGAGGATCTGGATATGAATCCACACAACTATAATCAACTTATCTTTGACAAAGGTGCTAAAATTAAATGATGGAGAAAAGACAGCCCCTTCAACAAAAACTGCTGGGAAAACTGGTTAGCAGTCTGCAAAAAACTGAAACTAGATCCATGTTTATCACCCTATAACAATATTATCTCAAAATGAATCAAGGATCTTAATATCAGACCCCAAACTCTAAAGCTGGTACAGGAAAGAATAGGAAATACTTTGGAACTAATAGGAATAGGCAAGGACTTTCTCAATGGAACCCCAGCAGCTCAGCAACTAAGAGATAGCATAGATAAATGGGACTTCATAAAACTAAAAAGCTTCTGCTCAACAGAAGAAATGGTCTCTAAACTGAAGAGACCACCCAAAAGACCAAAAATCGTATGTTCTCCCTCATATGCAGACATTAGATCAAGGGTAAACAAACAAGGGGATTGGACTTTGATCACATGATCATGCGAGAGCACACAAGGGAGGTATGAGGATAGGTAAGACACCCAAAAAACTAGATACCATTTGTTGCCCTCAACGCAGAGAAACTAAAGCAGATATTTTAAAGCGACTGAGGCCAATAGAAGGGACCAGGAACTAGAGAAAAGGTTAGATCAAGAAGAATTAACCTAGAAGGTAACACACACGCACAGGAAATTAATGCGAGTCAACTCTCTGTATAGCTATCCTTATCTTAACTAGCAAAAACCCTTGGTCCTTCCTATTATTGCTTATACTCTCTCAACAAAACTAGAGATAAGGGCAAATTAGTTTCTGCTAGGTAGCGAGGGGGTGGAGGGGAGAAGGAGGAGCAGGGGAGGGGAAGACGGGGTGGGGGAAAGGGGGGAGAAATGACCCAAACATTGTATGCACATATAAATAACAGAAAAAAAAAATCACTGAGGAGGAGTACCTGAGATCCCCCAGTAACGTATTTGCCCAAAGGTAATGAGTGCTTAGAAAGATGTAGCTTCAAATTACCTACAACTTTGCTTACGAAGTAACAATGCAAAATGATTGTTTTTTAAAGGTACTGGGGCTTGAACTCAGGGCCTTCAGCTTGAGCCACTCCACAAACCCTATTTTTATGAAGGGCTTTTTGAGGTAAGGTCTTGTGGAACTATTTTCCTGGGCTGGCTTTGGACCGTGATCTTCCTCATCTCTGCCTCCTGAGTAGCTAGGCTTGCAAACGTGAGCCACTGGTGCCTGGAGAATTTCTCCATCCTTTTCATTCAAAATTAAAACCATATTCTTACTGCTTGTGTGAACTTCTGTTTCTCAACTTGCTACACTTTGGGAAGTCTTTTAAAGGTAAGTACTAGCAGATGTTAATGCATTACAATTCCAGAGAATAGAGTGAATTACTCCAGCATTGTGCCATTATTCACAATGATTCAGAACATAAGCATTGCAGGACCCACAATTGTCCCAAATCCTGGGATCCTGAAATAGGACAAGTAATGACCAGTAAATGGGAAATCATGAGAAATTCTAGAATGCTTAGTTCCCTTTTCTTTTCATTTGAAATTTGGGAAAAAAAAAAAGACCCCACATTTTCTTCATTTAAATATTTAAATAACTTTCTAACATTGTTTCATTTTTCTATCTTCTTTGAAATAAAAACTTCCAAAATATGCACATACTAATTCGTCTCAGATGTTTCATTTGACGGAAAAACTTTTAGTTCTGTGAAAAAGAGTTGTCTATACCCTTTTCTATGAGGGTGGTCTTAAGTATTTCTTCTTGTCATTTTTAAGCACTAAAAAAACCAAACGAGATTATTCAGCGTCACTGTAATGGAACCAAAGTTTCTAGAGAGAGAGAATCTGGAATATTAACGATACAATTAGACCAATAAATAAAAGACACAAAGAAGCCTTATGATAGGTGTAGTGGGGCATGCCTGTAATCTCAGCACTTGGGAAGCTGAAGCAAGGATAGTGAATTCAAGGCCAGCCTAGGCTACATAGCAAGACCCTCTCTCAGAAAAAACAAAACAAAACACCCAGAAAGGTCAGGCAAGATAGCTCACGCCTGAAAATTATAGCTACTTAAGAGACAGAGAGATCTGGCTTATCATGGTTCCAGGCCAACCCAGGCAAAAAGCTTGTAAGATTCCATGTCAACCAATGGCTGGACAACAAGGTACATACCCGTGAACCCAGCTATTGGGGAAGCACAAAGTGAAGGACTGTGGTCCAGGCCCGGGCACAAAGTGAGACCCTACCTCAAAAATAAATAATGCGAAAAGGGCTGGCAGAGTGGCTCACATGGTAGAGTGCCTGCCTACCCTGAGTTCAACCTCTAGTACTGACAAAAAAAAAAAAAAAAGTGAGTCACGACTCCTTTACAGAGAGGATGAGTCTTTACCCCCATTCCTGTGTACAGATGACTCCGTACACACTCCATGTCGAGACTTGCTAACACAACACCAAAACAACCACGACTCTATCCCAAGTTCTTGCATGTTCTATGCTACCTTTTAATTCTAAGTCATTGAGAGCTTCACAGCAAAATTTATTGTATTATTTTTTCTTTCTTTTTTTTACAATTTATTTTATTTTAAAAATGCTTGTAAATCACTAGCCCACAAAATGTTTAGAAGCAGAGGAAACTATAGAAAGTAAGCACGTAGACTGCTTTTATTATTACACAGCTGTTAGTTGAATGAAAACAAATAATAGCTAGGAAGTTTTTAAATGATAGAAAAACTTTCTTGGGTAAGTTGTGACACAATTTTTTATGCATTCACACAATAAAATGTGTGGTATTTTTGCACCAATTGTAAACATGGAATTCACAATGAAATTGGAGAACTGAAAAGTCAAAGGGAGTCTCAATACATTCATTATTTAAAAATTTTAGACAAAAGAGCAGAGAATAGGAAAAAACCCAACATATACACCATGATAACAGTCCTTTTTTGATGATGATAACAGTCCTTTTTTAATGACTTCCAAGTTCCTCTTTCCTAAAAGCATTAAGACCCTTATTGTAGATTATGTATCATCTCCTCCTTGGCTATGAGGTGTGTAGTTTTGTTCACCAGAGACATCAGTGAGTTCAGTTTCTGAGACCAGTCATTTAATAAATTATTTGGATCCTTGGGTCTCTGGAAGTTGATAATTCCTGCCAACCTGTCTACTTTAGCAAAGATGGTTTTGTTAACAACTAGATTCGAGAGAAAAGCCTCTGACTCCTGCAAGAAAGACAAATTGGGTTAAGACAGGATAATTATAGATTATAAACAAAACTTAAGGAGAATTTTCTAAAAAAAAATTTTTTTTTTTTTTTTCAGGACAGGGCCTACACCTTGAGCCACTCAACCAGCCCTTTTTTGTGATGGTTTTTTCGAGATAGGGTCTCCTGAACTATTTGCCCTGGCTGGTAAACTGAGATTCTCCTGATCTCTGCCTACTATCTTTTCTAGTATCCCCTTAAAAGACACCATGGTATCTGGGCACCAGTGGCTCACACCTGTAACTAGCTACTTGGTAGGCAGAGATCAGGAGGATTGCGGTTCAAAGCCAGCCCAGGTAAATAGTTTGCATGAGTGTACCTTGAAGAAACCCGACACAAAGCAGGGCTGGCAGAGTGGTTCAAGTCTCAAGTGGTAGGGTGCCTGCCTAGCACGGGTGAAACCCAGAGTTCAAACCCCAGTACCATTAAAAAAAAAAAGGCACCATGGTATAGATCCTTGGGTAAGAATATATTCTCTGATACCTGGCAGTCATATAGTTATGAATAAGACACTTTTTTTTTTTTTTTTGGTGGTACCGGGGTGTTGAACTCAGGCCTTTGAGCTTGGTAGGCAAGTGCTCTACCACTTGAGCCACTTTGCTAGCCCTTTTTTGTTTGTTTTTGAAATAGGTTCTTATTTTACAAGTGGGCCTGCCTGGACTGTGATCCTATTTTTGCCTGGGCTGCCCTTGAATTGCAATCTTCCCCAGCTCCACCTCTCAAGCAGTTGGGACCACAGGCTTGAGCAACTGTGTCTGGCTAAGACACTTCACTTGTAAGGAATTTAGTGCTTTCATCCATAAATGAGAACTGAGCAGTCAATAAATAAATACAACAATAAATACAAAAAATAAAATATATAAATATAAAATACATAAATAGACACATAAATAAATAATAAAATGAACATGCTTTTCTCACTCAGTTTTTACAAGGTGACTGATACTCTGGTCACAGATAATCTGGACAGTGATGTTTACTACTTACATCAACAGACAGATCCAGAAGTTGAGCCATCCTTTTCATTGTTATCCGAGTATAGTACTTGGCCATTATTCTAATATTCTGGGGAAAGGACAGAGGCAGGGGACACATGTGACAACTGTCAGAAAGGTTGAAAGTCTATTTGTTTTCATATCCAGATAAATTTACCGAAAACGTCAAAACTTTTATTTGTATTTTTTTATGTCAAAGCTTTTATTTTTCTATAGTCTACCACTGGAAGGAAGCTGGTTCTAAACTTCAAAAGCAAACTGAACAGAGATATTTTGGTTTTTGGAATTATTTGTAAATTGGGTACTTTATACAACTCTTCAAGCTTAATAATCCATAACATATACTTATGGATTATAACTAAAATTAGTGATTAAAAATGATGACTATACTAAAATATTTTTGCTAAATTCAATAATCTAAAGTTAAGCTTTTCTTTCTTTCTTTTTTTTTCTTGTGGTACTGGTGTTTGAACTCAGGACCTACACCCTGAACCACTCCACCAGCTCTTTTTTGTGATAGGGTCTTGTGAACTATTTGTCTGAGCTAGGATTATAGGATTATAGGTGTGAGCCACCAGAGCCCAGCCAAGCTTTCCTAATTATGACACAAATGTTTTAAAGCTAAAACAAAAAATGATCAAGCTGGGCATGATGGTGCATACCTGTGGTCCCAGTCACTTGAGTGGCTGAGGTGGGAAGACTGCTTTAGCCCAGAAGTTAAAGACACAGTGAGGCCCAGGCAACAAACAAAAGATCAGGCTGAGTGTGGTGGCATACACCCAGCATTGAAGAAGCTAGTAGGTTCAAGGTTAGCCTAGGTGACATTCTGAGATCCTGTCTCCAAAGAGGGGGGAATATCCTATTTCACGCACCCCTTTGCAATCCCTGGCCCCTGCCTTAATTCAAGAGTATAGAGCCTGTCACTGAACTTACCTTCTCATTTCCAGTCTTGCATCTTTCTAAATGATCTTCATACCCAGAGTGCCTGAGTAAAATACACGCCTGGGCATTCTGCTGTCAACTTTTCACCACTGAGGTGTACAGGACTCATCTATGATCCAGACCCTTTCTCCACCTCCAACGTTTTTAGAGTTCTCTAGGTCCCTTGATGGTTTGTGTCGATATGTCTTGCCTTTGTTCAGACCATCCCATCTGCCTGACATCTGAGCCTCCTCTTAAGAATCTTACCTCGGCTGGGCTCCAGTGGTCATGCCTGTAATCCTAGCTACTCAGAAGGCAGAGATCAGGAGGATCTCAGTTCAAAGCCAGTCTTGGGCAAATAGTTCGAGAGACCCTATCTTGAAAAACTTTTCACAAAAATAGGGCTGGTGGAGTAGCTCAAGGTGAAGGCCTTGAGTTCAAGCCCTAGTACCACAAAAAACAAAACAAAACAAAACTTACCTTGCTTAGCAATTCTGCCCTATCTAGTCTGAACCTTTATCCAGGTAGAACCAATCAACTCTCTATTTATGCCTTACTCTACTCTCTATATATTTGGACCATAAGACCTCAGTACTTTTTATTTATAAACAGATCATTCCCAATGATTTTCAAGCTTCTTGAAAACAGGGACCATGTCTTATTCGCCCATGGGCCGCAGCGCTTTGTACAGTATGTCACATAAGAAGGCTCACAGTAAATGTTTCTTATGTGAATAAAGCAGTATTGACATAATTCATAAGTCTACAGTGACACTAAGACCAAAGTTCAAGTTGAAGACATGTTACCCATTTCTAAGATGAGTAAGTAACTATCAGAGTGAAAATACCCCCTTTTCCAATTCTCAGGAAATGCTTTTTGGTCTCTATGCTGTAACATTCTGGATTCTTGAGAGGCCCTCCCAAGTGAAACACGCTCAAATATAGTTATCTTTGCTGCAAACAGGGAAAAAAGGATAAGCAGGATGAGATAAATTCTGATTTGCTTTGGGAAAGTGAACATTTGAACATTAGAGGATGAAAATTCTGAAGTGAAGGGCTGGGGTATAGCTCAGAGGTAGAATGCTTGCCTAGCATGCACCAGCCCCTGGGTTCAATCCCCAGCACAACCCAAATTAAGTAAAGATGAAATTCTAAAGTGAAGAATTAAAAACATTAACATCCAAAAGAAGCATTTGATTATCAAACCTTTAAAAATAAAATTCGTGGTGGCATATGCCTATAATCCCAGCTCCTCTGAGGCAGGAGGATTGTGAGTTCAAAGCCAGCCTAGGCAACATAGTGAGATTCCATTTCAAAAACAAAAACAAACAAATCAAACAAAAACAAAGGTTATGCTACAATTTGCCAAAGCTTAATGATAATTATTAGCCAGGTGCTGGTGGTTAACATCTGTAATCCTAGCTACTTGGGAGGCTGAGATTGGGAGCATCAAGGTTTGAGGCCAGCCTGGGCAAATAGTTCTTGAGAGCCCCATCTCCAAAATAACCAGAGCAAAATGGACTGGCAATGTGGCTGGTATACAGCCTGCTCTGCAAACACAAACCCCAGTCCCACCAAAACAAACAAAAGAATTTTTGTGGCACTGAGATTTGAACTCAGAGCCTCTTGAGCCACACCCCTGGCTTGTTCTTTGAGATGTGTCTGGCTAATTTTTTTTTTTGACTGGGCTGGTCTTGAACTGTGATCCTCTGTGCCTGACCTTGTCAAGGTTTAATTCTAAGATGATTCAGAAAAATCAATTCACTAGCTAAAGGTTAAAATAAAAACTGGCATCTCCAGCATGCCAAATTCTTACGTGTTCAACAACTCTGTTCTTCAAGTCTTTCCACCTTTTTTCACCTTCTTCTGTAGAACCAAAAACATCAGTTGCAGGACTCTCCAGGGAACCTTTCCTTAATTCCATCCCATAGTCCTCAACAAGCGTGGACCAACGCATCAACTCCATTGTGGTAAAAAGCTTTAAAAGATCCCTGCAAATTATATACAACTTACTATCCCAAATCTGTAAAACTTAAGCATCACCTAACTCAAGATTTAGCATCCTTAATCCAAAACCCCAAAACCTAAATGCATCAAAATCTGTAACTTTTTGTATGACAGGTGTGATGACACAAATGGAAAATTCTAACACCTGACTTCATGTATTTGTAGACTGTGGGAAGTTTAAGATGCCAAACTTATGTGTGAGTGTGAAAGGACTGATTACTGGAGCATAGGAATTCACAGCCAGAAATGGTGGTGACATACTGACATCTCTAGCTGACGGAGGTTCAGTGTACACAAGCAATCTTCATATATAAAATTACTAAAAATATTACATAGAATTACCTTTAGGCTATGTGTATGAAGTACATAGGAAACATAAATGAATTCTGTGTTTAGACTTGGGTTCCATCCCCACAATATCACATTATATATTTCCAAATATTCTAAAATATGAAAAAATCCAAAATCAGAGACATTTTTGCCAAGCATTTCAGATAAGGAATTCTCAGTCTGTATAACAGCAAAATCTCAACAGACTGTTTTTATGGACTTGTATTTTAGTGGAATAAGACAAATTTGATTAGTACTTATTTTACTTTTTCCCCATAGTTCTTCTGAACAGAGTACCCCACTCTTTAATACTCTGTTCTCTCCCAATGAATGGGACAAATGTAAACATATTAATCAAACAGATAAAAGAAAACAGCTTTCAAGAAATAAAAGCCCACCACGCTTATGATGAAGCATGTCCATTTTAAAGCACTTACTTGTATTTAGGAATTTCTTCTAACTTCTTGTCACTACTTATCCGGTGAACCAAATCTGACTGCTCATTGTCAAAAGGAGCCAGGATAACATAGAGAACAACGCTTTTCAGAGCCTAAAAACGTTGTGCAAAACAACAGTTTATATGCAATTAGATACATAATGGGACTTTGGCAAGAACTGAAAACTTGTGGCATGGTTATATACATTAACTTTAAATTTTGTACTTAAAGTCTTACAGGGAGAAATATCTTCCCAGGATGCCCTTTTCATGTCCTTCTGTAATATTTAGTTTTCATAAAAATACTACAGTAAATATTTGCTAATTCGAACTATCTCAGCTGACATTTTTAAAAACATTCATTTTTGATAAATGAATAAAGGAAAAGTTCTTGCTAAAAAGTTAACAGTAAAAATATTGAATATAAATGAAGACTTTTTTTTTTTTTTGAGAAATGATCTCTCTATGTAGCCCAGGCTGGGCCCAAACTTGCCATCCTCCTTTGCCCGCCTGGCAAGTATGCCACCATGCCCAGCGTCAACAAACTCTTTGGTAAAAGAACTTTCCAAAGTGATGCTGAGTCTTAGCTGTAGCCTTTGCTGTACCTGTTAGGCAGTAAGCCCACATTTCTTCAAAAGTAAAACCCAACTTAAATGGCTGCCCAGCTGGCCTGACACAGTAAGGACATAGCGAGCAGAAAGCAGCCACACACAGTGCACGCACTGCTGCAGTTACCATGAGATGACAGCAAGTGAAGATGCAAGCTCTTCATGACAAGGATCAGTATCAACTATGAGAACATCTTCTTACCTGTTGCCACTTCTCACTTTCCGCCTGTATACAGGGAGTATCATATATTGCTCTATAGTGCTTACAAATGGACAAATAAGATCCCTCATGCTGATCCAGCTGAATCATTAAATTATAGTATTTTAACTTTAATTTCTGAAAAAGAGTTGACAAAATAAATTGAAGTTTCTGGGTTTTAATCAAATGCTTTTAAAGCAAGTATATAGTTAGAGATATGCTCACCTCTGTATTTTCTTCCTGAAAAAATTTGGTGTTAATTTTTTTGCTGATGATTTGTGTCCGGATATAATCCTTCACAGCTAAGCAGAGCCTCATCTGCTCCAAAATAAACTCCACTCGCTCCTTCTTTTCCATTGATCCATAGGTCTCAACCTAGCACAGTTAATGCTCCAAATAAGTTTATAATAGTCATTTTTATCAACCACAACAAAATTAAATAGAAAATTAACATATCCACCCTTGTCAAATATATACGTGGAAAAAGTCTTCATACATACGTATAAAGTGTTGATGATTATATGAAAAGTGAGTTACCATCAGGAAATTACAATTTAAACAATTATTATACATTAAAAGAGATCTTTGTCCCTTTTGGTATAAAGTTCTACGAATTTTATAAGACAGCATATTTGCTGGTTGTGCCACTGGAGCTCCTAAATGCACTGGTTTGTGTAACCATCATCACAATGAAGATACTATTATCCCCCAAACTCTGTCCTGGTACCCTTTTGTAGTTACCCACTTCCCTCACCTGTAAGCCCTGAAAACCAGTGATCTAGTCTCCATCAGTACAGATTCTTTTCAAGAATATCAAATGTAGCAAATAGCCTTTCAAGACTGTCTTCATTCCCTCCACATACTGTCTTGAATTAAAACATTTAGATTAGCGGGGTGCCAGTGGCTCACACCTGTAACCCTAGCTACTCAGGAGGCAGAAATCAGGAGGATTGCGGATCGAAGCCAGCCCAGGCAAAAAGTTCCGCAAGACCCTATCTTGAAAATACCTAACACAAAAAGGGCTTGGTGGAGTAGCTCAAGGTGTACGCCCTGAGTTCAAGCCCTAGTACCGCAAAAAACAAACAAACAAACAAACCCAAAAGATACGTAAATCAACAGTTAATTCCTTTGTGTTGCTGAGTACTCCACTGGATGTACATACCAGGGCTTACCCTTTCACCTACAGAAGGACATCTGGGTAGATTTCACCTACTGGTCATCACTAATAAAGTTACTTTGAACATAAGTGAATAGGTTTTGTGTGAACATTTAAGTTTCACTTCTCTGGTTCAGGCATGGTGAGGCACACCTGTAATCTCAGATAGGTGGGAGGCATAGGGAGGCCTCACACCAGCCGCAGGCCAAAAACCAAAGCAAACCAAACCAAAAAAACCATAAGGGCTGGAGGCAGGCTCAAGCAGTAGTGCACCTGCCTAGCAAGTATGAAGCCCTGAGTTTGAATGCCAGTACCACCAAGGGGAAAAAAAAAGTGAGACCCTACCTAAAAATAAAGCAAAAAAGGCTTGGAGGTGTGGCTTAAGGGCTAGAGTGCTTATATACATATGTACAGCCAGGAATTCAAACCTCAGTACCACCACCACCACCACCATCAAAAAAAAAAAAAAAAAAAGCCCTCTTTTCCCATAGGTAAACAGGAATGGGATTGCTGGGTCACATGCTCAGTGTATGTCTATCTCTTCTCCACAGTGACTGCACCATCTGCATTCTCATTAGCAAAGCATCGGAGTCCCAGCTGCTCTGCATCCTCACCAGCACTTAGTATTCTATTTTTCTATTTTTTCCTTTTTTTTTTTTTTTTTTTTTTTTTTTTTCGGTGCTGGGGACCGAACTCAGGGCCTTACACTTGCCAGGCAAGCGCTCTTCCACTGAGCTAAATCCCCAACCCCTTAGTATTCTATTTTTTAACTTATTGTAGCCATTATAATATAGTGATATCTCACTATGGTTCTAATCTGTATTTCCTTAGTGATTAATGAAGAAATTTTTGTTTTAAATATGAAAAAGGAACTTACAATCTTTCAACTTATGTAATAATTGAAACGATTACATAAAAGCAGCACTGATCTGTCAGATGAGGTTACAAGGCTGATATGACAATGTACAAAATAAATTACATTAAATGCTCTGAAAAATGTTTTTCACACATTTGGTATACATGTTATAGGTGAATCTATAAAATCCAGGATGACATAGTTACAAAGCAGAATGAAGACTATTATAATTGTTATTATTTTTTGGTCTGGAATTTTTTTTGCCACCTTCTTTGTAATTTTATTTTATTGTTGTGCTGGGTAGGGGTACAATGTAGCATTTACAAAGGTTCTTATGATATATCAAATTTGCATTCACCCTCTCCACCATTCTCCTCTACTTCCCTCCCATTTTTTTTAAAAATTATTTTTATTTATTTTTATGGTGGTACTGGGGTTTGAACTCATGACCTCACACTTGCTGGCAGTTGCTCTACCACTTAAGTCACTTTGCCAGCCCTGTTTTGTGTTGGGTATTTTCGAGATAGGGTCTTCAAATTTGCCTGGGCTGGCCTTGATCCTCCTGATCTCAGCCTCCTGAGTAGCTAGGATTACAGGAGTGAAACACCGGGCCCAGCTCATCTTTGTAATTTTTACTTTGCAATTAAGTAGTTTCATTTCTTATGTCTCTCTTTTTTCTTGTCATTTACTTGTTGAAAATATCAGGTTAGTCACCCTGTAGCTTCCTAGAGTCAAAATTTGGCTGACTATGGTATCATTAAACAGGCTCCTCTGTCCCCAGTACATCCATCCCATAAACTAATAAACCTACAAAGACTGAGATTTTTTTTGGGGGGGGAGGAGAGGAAATTATTTTAAAGGGGATGTTGAATCATGAAATATATGAGATCCTCCTGGTTGAAAGACAGAACTTAAAGGCAAAACTATGACAACAGTAAAAAAGATCTGTGGTTGGCAAGATTTAGGGAGGGAAGGATGAATAGGAAGAGCACAGATTTTTAGGGCAATGACCTATGTTGTATGACACTACAATGGTGGATGGTACATAGCATTATAAGTTTGTCAAAACCCGTAGAAGTACACCACCAAGAGTGAAGTCTAATGTTAAATATGGACTTGGGTGAGGGTCAATAGTCAGAGCGTCTGTGCATGTGTGGGGACAGTAGATATACAGGAACTTTCTCTACTTTCTGCTCAATTTTGTCGTGGACCTAAAGCTCTAAAACTTAAAGTTTATTAATAAAATAAAGTGGGCATCTTCTCTCTTCCCACATGGACCAGTGCTGAGTGTGAAGTTGACTCTGATAAAATAGCCCCAAATTTTTCAATTAAGCATTACTCAGCATGATGGTGGGAAGTCTGGGCTTTGGGTTTGACCTAGAACTAGTTACAATCTTTCTTTGGATGCCAACTTTGAGAATAGGATCACACTGTCCACTGCCTAAGACTGATTTAAACATTAATTTAGATGATGTCAGAAAAGCAGTTAGCAGTATTTGGAATGATATAATCATTTAATAAGTGGTTACATTACTCTTAATAAATTTTAACCAAACAACTATGGCTGGGAAGTGTGGACTGTGTAGACACCACATTCAGGGCGTGGCCTGGACACACCTGACTGTTAATCATAAGCTGCCAAGTAGCCCAGTCTTAAGGGCAACGAGAAAACCTTGGCTTTTGAAAGATAAAAGAGCCCTCTAAGAGACAGAGAGGGTATGTTCTCCTGCAGAGCAGAATGTTGAGTAAATATGGCAATACAAATTGCTGAAAATGTATCTCCAACAGGACTCATGCAACAGCTTTCATATTCTCTATTTTTCCTGTAATCCTAGCTACTGAGGAGGCAGAGATCAGGAGGATCACAAAACCAGTCCTGGGCAAATAGTTTGCAAGACCCTATCACAAAAAAGGGCTGGCAGAATGCCTCAAGCAGTAAGAGTACCTGCCTAGCAAGTGTAAGGCCCTGAGTTCAAACCCCAGTCCTGTCAAAAAGGCTGGGCACCGGTGGCTCATGCCTGTAATCCCTAGCTACTCAGGAGGCAAAGATCAAGAATATCACAGTTTGAAGCCAGCCCGGGCAAACAGTTTGAGAGACCCTATTTTGAAGAAAAGCCATCACAAAAGGGTTGGTAGAGTGGCTCAAGATATAGACCCTGAGTTCAAACATCAGTACTAAGGGGAAAAAAAAAGCCAGCCTTGGGCAAGTAATTCTCGAGACCCTATCTCACAAAAAAGGGCTTCAGAGTGGTTCGAGCAGTACAATATATGGTTTGGAAGCACAAACTACACCCTCCCCCCAAAAGAAACCAATGATTAAAAACAGATTTCTAAGGCATAAGTAGTATATGAATTACCTATTTCATTTAAATTCTAGAAAAAATTAGAATGTTCAAGTAATGGCACAAAAATTAAGGCGAACCTGTTGATCCTAATTTTTCTTCAAAATAGGAGTTAAACTTAGTTGGCCTGTGATTACACAACTGAATAACCTACTTCACAAGAAAACACTGCAAGTCCAGCTCGAATTGTCAGCTTCTTACCTGTAACTCCTGTAGAATGGAGGCTGCCTCCTTCACCTCGCCATTTTGCTCTTTTATGGTTGCTAATGTTTTAGTCAGTCGAGCACGCTCAATCTCAACATAAATCTACAAACAAGAGAAACTTATATTATCAAAATTCCTATGGAAATGTGCTAAACTTTAAAGGGTAGAACTGAACTATTATTCAAACTATGCGTAAGAGCCATTAGTGTGCTGCTCTTGTGCACTTTATCCTCCACATATAAAGCCGAGATGTTTTACCTTCATGAATAGTCATCATTTTAACAATATCTTTATGAAACATTATCCATATTTTTCAGCTTTACTTTGAAAACCTAAATATGAAATTACTGTGTTTAACGAAAAACAGGACCATGAACTCTACAGAAATACATGACACAGAAGTGAAAAGTGGCTTTTAAATAAATGATTATATGAAAAATACCACACTTTACAAAGAGGACGTGCAGTTCAATATCTACAATTCAACCAACAATATAAATCTGATTCATCCTTTTTTTTGGCAGTGGGTATTGAATTCAAGTTCTCATACATGCTAAACCTATGCTCTACCACTGAGCTACACCCCCACGTGGAGCCAGCTGTGATGGTGCATGCCTGCAATCCCAAGACTCGGGAGGTTGAAGCAGGGAGATGAAGGGCTTGAAGGGTATGAAGCTTGCTACATAGCAAGTTCCAGGTCAACACAGTCCCCATAGTTAGAATGTCTCAAAAAAACTGAAAAAATCTGTTCTTACTAAGTATTAAAGTTGCTAGCATTTTTTTAGCTGTAAGTAATGTTAATAGATTTATAACTTCCAACAAAGCAAACATTAAAAATGTAACTATAACCTAAAGCGTGTAAGAAATGAATGTTCGTGCTATGCAGCAACGCCTTCCCTACCCCTCCAAAAACTCTTAATTTCTAATAATACCAAACTACCTGCAGTTTCCTAAATATACCATGTGTTTCTTATTTAGGTATTTTTGTTTATAATTTCCTTCATATTTTCTTTTCCCCATTCCTTGGCCCTACAGAATTTTTGTTTATTCCTAAAAAAGCCACAACCCAGCTATTCAGGAGGTCAAGGCAGGAGGATCACAAGTGTGAGGCTAGCCTTGGCTGCATTAAGACTATCTCAAACACACACACAAAACAAAAAAGCCACATAAAATTTGGGTTTAGATCACTAATTCTAGAAAAATTTGGTTATGCCAAGAACACTATCTAAATGTTTATTTACATATGGGAAGATACTACAAAGGAATGGACAAGCTTAATAATGGTTGAATTGGTGATGGCATTTTGTGTTGCTTTAAAAAATACTTACACGAAATGTCAAAATCCATAGCATCTCTGAACGTAGATAAGAGAGTACTATACCAACAGAAAACTCACCTTTCCTTCTGTAACCATTCGTAGAGTATCAATTAATCGAAGTTTGACTGGAAGGTCTGTGATCTCCTCAACGTAAGTACAGCACTGTTGAACCATTTTTGCAACAGCCTAAAATATTAAAAACCATTCACAAGTGAAATTTATTCCTCATTCAGAAAAGTAATGTATTCTACTGATAGAAGGGCTATCGTCAAATTGGTCTTCCCAAGTAACTCGAGATACTGAAATAACCCTAGAAGAACATCAAAGCACATCAAAATCTCCCTGATAGCTGAGAATTCCAGTAACAAATCAAATATCTAGTAACAAATCAAAAAGGGTTAGGAAAATCTCTGAAGCAAAGATGCAGCCAAGCAGAAAAGCATGGAAGAAATGGCAGCAGACTAAAGTGGGGGAAAAGCGAAGAGTAAAGCACGATTCTAGAGCAGCTGAAGCCATGACCAAGAGATACTGTGCTGGAGGACAAGAGGCAGAAAGTAAAATTGCTCCATACTCTTGGTAAGGAAGAGCCACAGTCATCACTGAAGTCAGAGTCTCTTGCTCTTAATGACCTCCCAGGTAATATAAGGAGACCGGACCACAAATCCTCCAGTTCAACGTTCTGTCACCTAGGCCAGGACAATCATTTCCTGTAAATTTTTACAAATATTTACCAAGTAACTACTTTGGACTTTGTGGACCACACTGTCTCTGTGGTAAATATGCAACTTTGCCTTTGTAACTTGAAAGCTGTCAGAAACAATACATAAATAAATGGATGTAACTGTGCTCTAATAAATTTGTAAAAATAGGTGACAGGTGGGATTGGTCTGCCACCCACCATTTGCCAATTCCTAATCTAGATTTTAAATAGCATATCATAACCACTGAGAATAATAATTAGGGACTCTGACTCAAGAAAATTTTAAATTACATTAAATATAATTTAAGGTAGCAGAAAAATAAATAGCACACCTTGGATAGACATCCATAAAAAACATTTCACATCCAAGTAGCTGAGGTTAACTTTATCTGAAAAAAATCACTGCTCAGAAAGGTAAGGTTTTTTTTTTTATCTGTTTTACCATATTACCCCAAGCTGGCCTCAAATTTCTAAGCTAATTGGTCCTCCTACCTCAGCCTCTAAGTAGCTGGGTCTACAGGAACATACTACTGCACTCAGCTAAAGCTGAAGCTTCACTATAAAGTATAGCTCTTTTAACAAGTGCTGTGCTCTGGGAGACCTAGAATCTTACAAACTGTACAAGCCCTCTAAAATGAAATACAGTAACGATTTCTAGAAGAGCACCCAACTTGGTCATTCTAAAAGCTGTACAAAAAACATTTACAGGGCTGGGGGTGTAGCTCAGTGGTAGAGCACTTGCCCAGTATGTGCAATGCCCTAGGTTCTGCCTCCAGCATTGAAAAAAAGGAAAGAAAAGAAGAGCTAGAAACAAAACAAAGCAATAATATCAATATCAATACATTCTAATTTGAAGTGACTATACTTCTGTGCTCTGAAAAAAACGTAGGTAAGTCTTTAGGGAAGTTAGCATTGGAAAGACCCCTGGCCTCAGGTGATACTGAGTTATAAACCCTTAAACTGAAGCAACGTAGAAAAGTTTACTCTTTAAGCAAAAAAGAAAAAGTTTAGGTAAAAAATAATTATAGGAAAAGGACAGAGCCATCTAGAGTCCCTAAGCACTTTCCACAGCTATAAAGACAATGAATGTTACAAGGAAAAAAGCAGCCTAGTTCCAGTTCTGGTGTCCCTAGCCAGAAGGGAGAATGACCCATTCTTCCTCCAAAAAGTCTTCCCTGGTACACCCCACCAAACACTTTCTCCTCTTCCTTCCACTTTTTTTTATTTTAAAGAACAGACTCAGATTGAGGCAACAGTCTCATGTAAGTGTTCGCCATCAACCTGCTACATGCAGGACAGATGTGAAACACATACATTCAGCTCCCATGACTTAGCTGAGGTCTGTACCCCTGCGCCAATCATCACACCTGCCACTGCTTAATACTTTTTCTAATCTGTTCGCTTGCTATGGATTGTCAACGTGTGGGTATAATTTGTTTGGTGGGGCTGGTGATTAAACTCAGCCTTGTACTTCCTAGGCAAGCGCTCTACCACTTGAGCCATGCCCCAGCCCTTTACTTTATTCTTCACTCTTCTTTGGGGGGGCTGGAGACTATATCCAGGGCTTCTACCCACTCTACCTCTGAGCAACACTCCCAACCCAGCTATGCAATTCTTAATAACACATTTTTTGGGGGTGGGGCTTAAGATGGAATCCAGGGCTTCACCTATGGTAGGTAAGCACTCCACCACTTAGCTACATCCTTAGCTCTTAAATAGCTAAAAATAAAATCTTTGATTTTTAATAAATACTATGCTCCCCTAGAGCAGTATAATTAATAAAATAAGGGCTTTGGACAGAACCCGCCATAACTATTTTTGGTTCCACTACTATTCCCTTTCCAATATTGTTATTTTTATTATTTAAAGCAAAACAAAAACAATCCAGAAGCTACTCAGACAACATTTTAAACATGAGCTATAACTGTACAAAAAAAATAAGAGTGCTTCTGGAGAGAATCACTTAAATATATCTTAAACAAAAGAGTAAGTAAGCAGTTTAAAAAAAAACAATCCAGCTTCACAAAAACACTAAAAGAGAATTTATAGGATTTTTTGTTGTTGTTGTTTTGTTTTTGGTGATAAGGTCTTGCTATCTACCAGGCTGTTCTTCAAATTATATAGCCCAGTTTGGCCTCAAACTTGCAGTCCTCCGGCCTCACCCTCCTGAATGCTGCTATACTTATGTAATCCTTAAAAGAAAATAAGCAGTGAGAGCCAGGCGCCAGTGGCTCACACCTGCAATCCTAGTTACTCAGGAGGCACAGATCAGGAGGATTGTGGTTCCAAGCCAGCCTGGGCAAACAGTTTGAGAGACCCTATCAAGGTGTAGACCCTGAGTTCAAGCCCCAGTACTGCAACAAACAAACAAACAAAAAAAAAAAAAAAAAAAGAAGAAGAAAAAGGGTAGTGAGAATAATCTGTCTCAAAATGGTCTCAAGTAAGTTAAAGTGATTAACAAGAGATAATTTAATTAAATCAGGTATCAACTTGATAGATTATAACATAAGAATTTAAGATAATCAAAATGAAATAAAGAGCAAGAGGGAACTAGACAAAGCTGCACTGACCTTGTAACAATACGCAAATACGTAAAGAGAAACAAAACAGAAATGAAAGCTCCCTAAAAGCTCGTGACGTTGATTTAATGAATTTTCACACATGCACACACTAGTTTTCTAAGTCCTTATTTAAATGCAAGTATGTTTTCTGAGCAATTATGAACTCACTTGTTTTAACTGACTCCGCCTTTTTGACAAAAGCATAATATTTTCATTCAGCAAATCCCATTCTTTAGCCTCATAGCACATCTTTACCACTGCAACTAAGATCCGGGATGTCGACACCATATCAGAGGCCTACAAGAATGAACAGACAGTGAGAGTAAATGGAACAATGCCAAATGAAATTCACAGCAATTTTTACTGCAATCTACTCACAGTACGGGTCTGTTTTTCTAAAGACAGAAGGGTTTCAATGACTTCTTGAAGTCTTCCTTCCTAAAACAAGAGATAAAAATGAACAATGAAAACAACGTCACCAACAAACCAAATAATTGACCTAAACTGAGATGTTTCTCACACATAAAGGAAAAACCAACAAGTCACTGCAGAGCAAATATCATCTATAACTGCTTTTCTTTTTTTGTGGCATTGGGGTTTGCACTCAGGGTCTTATCACTTGAACCATGCCCTCAGTCTTTTATGTTTTAGGTTTTTTTTTGATAGGGTCTCACTTGTTTTTGGTCTGGGCTGGCCTCAAACTACCATCCTCCCAATCTTTGCCTCCCAAGTAACTGGGATTACATCTGTGAGCCACTGTACCTGGCCCCATCCCCATCCATCCATAACTACTCATTTGTCTCCATCTCATGACAGTACTTGCTTCTTCAGTGGATTCCTTAAGTCAGTAGTTCTGGGTCTCACAAGCTTTCTTCTTCTTCTTTTTTTTTTTTTTTTTTTTTTTTTGTGGTGCTGGAACTCAGGGTTTCCACTTTGAGCCACTCCTCCAGCCCTTTTTTGTGATGGGTTTTATCGAGATAGTCTCACAAACTATTTGCCTGGGCTGGCGTCAAACCAAGATCCTCCTGCTTTCTGCCTCCTGAGTAACTAGGATTACAGGTGTGAGCCACCAGTGCCCAGCTCACAAGCTTTTTTTAACATATAAAAAAGTTTAAGAAAAACTGAACATATAACAACAATGATCTCTCACTCAGAAAACACACACACACACACACACACACACACACACACACACACACGTCTTTGTTTTATATTCTAATCTATCGACTCAGAGTAGTGATACTTGTTTACCTTGTTCTGCACAGGCACTAAATGATAGCCACATGTAACTTGACTTTGAGGAGTAAAAATGGGACAATAAACGCTTTGAAAACCACCCTAGAAGACCCTCAATGCTATCCTGAAAGTCATGCTCAAGAAGACACTAATCCAACCTGAACATACCCCTTTTGTTAACTGATAATAATCTCTCCACACTTCTATCATATGCAAAAACAAAACATTCTCCCTGGGACATACACTAAGAAACAGGAGCAGCTCATGTCTATAATCCCAACACTTTCCCTGGGAATGGAGGCAGAAGGATCACAAGTTCAAGGCCAGTCTGGGCCACATAGTGAGATTTGCCTCAAAAAACAGAAGAGGAGGCTGGGCACCGGTGGCTCACGCCTATAATCCTAGCTACTCAAGAGGCAGAGATCAGGAGGATCGCAATTCGAAGCTAGCCCAGCAAATAGTTCATGAGACTCCATCTCGAAAAAAACCCATCACATAAAAAAAAGGGGGCTGGTGGAGTGGCTCAAGGTGTAGGCCCTGAGTTCAAACCCCAGTATCGCAAACAAAACAAAACAACCCCCCCAAAAAAAAACCCCCAAAAAGAGAGGATGTAAAAGATGAAAGGATTTCTAACATCACAAAAAAAGATATAGAATAATAAAATTTAAATAATATAAACCTAAATGATAATATACCAGGACTAAAGAAGGTTATACTACCAGGAGCCACACATTTTGATTAAAAATCCCACAGCAAAAACCCTACATTTATTAAGATACTGATATAGCTATCATATATGCAACTCTGATAATCAATTGGAAGTGATGAGGAGAACTTTGTTTAAAAACAGCTCTTCTAACAATGAAAAAAATGTAATTATATCCATGGACAACATGTAAGTACTTTTTTTTTTTTTAAACTGACGAAAGAAACTAAACACCCTTTGAATTAAGGGCAGAGATGATGTTTCTACCTTTGAAAATACTGCGTGGGCAGTGGTGTGTCTCAACTGGTACAGCACTTGTCTTGAGAATGTGAAGTCCTGAGTTCAAACCCCAGTACCACCAAAAAACATAAACAAAACAAAGTATTGCTGCCTTGGGTTGGTGGTGTAGCTCAGGAGGCAGTGCACCTGCCTAGCAAGCATGAGGCCCTGAGTTTAAAAAAAAAAAAGCATTCCCTGCACAAAATACTGCTCTACACTTCCCCAGGATAACTTATAAAACTATGTATTTTCTTTTTTTGGGGAGGTGCAATGAATGCAGGGCCTGGTGCATACTAAGCACATACTCCACTGCTGACTACATTCCCTGTCAAGCTTTATATTTTTTATGCAGTACAGAATTAATTAAATCTGAAACATGAACACTAAGATATTTTAACAAGGTTTCCTATGCAAAGGGGACCACCGGTTCTGAAAGCTGTACAGGCTCATGGATACAATACTGGCTAAATGTTCACAAGAGGAAAAGAACAATGAACAAACCTACAAATTCTACAAGTTGAAGGCTAATAAATCATAAAAGATCAAAAAATCTTGGAACTAGGAAGACTGCTAGAGATTCTTTAATTCTATCACTTTAGTTTAGACATCAAAAAGACTGAGAATCAGCAGGTGCCAGTGGCTCATGCCTGTAATCCTAGCTCTCAGGAGGCAGAGATTAGGAGGATCAAGGTATGAAATCAACCCTGAGGCATATAGTTTGAGAGACCCTAACTCGAAAAAAACTATCACAAAAGAGGGGCTGGCAAAGAAGCTCAAGTGGTAAAAGCACGTGCCTAGCAGGCATGAGGCCCTGAGTGCAAACCCCCATGCCACCAAAAGATTGAAGACCAACCAGTTTAATTGACTTGCTCACTTATTGAGCCACAAAAATCAGCAGAACCAGATCCTAGGACTCTTCCCTCCTGGCCCTAAGCTCCCTCCACTCCACGGCACTGCTCGCCACAGCACGCCAGCACTAAGTCATGCCTTTTGCGTTCATCAAAGTAATCTCTTCAGCAAAATGGTTAACGTCTAGAAATAAAGTGCAAAAAGTTAAAATGAAAGACACTATGCTCACTGAGTTGTCTCCCGTCATGTTTGCAATTACTGTGACACCTCATTCGATCAACAGAGTGTAGGTTAATTTTTGGTATTCTAATTCAGAAGCAAGGGCACTAAAGAACTGCACCCTGCATGGGAAGAAATCACAATGCCCCACATCTGGGGCACTGCATATCAAGCCATTAACATCACAATCTCAACTAATGGCTGGGTACAGTGGCAAGTGCCTGTAATTCCAGCTATGCAGGAAGCACAAATAAGAAGATTAACAGACCAGCCCAGCCTGGCATAAAGCAAGACCCCATGTCAAAAATAACCAGTGCAAAAAGAACTGACTGAGTGGCTCAAATGGTAGAGTGCCTAACAAACAGGAAGCCCTGGAATCAATTATCCCTACCATAAGCAGTTGAAATTTAAAGCCAACCCAGTATTTCTAAATGACTTATTTCTTATAAGGATTTTTTTGTTCAAGTTGCTAATGATAAGTAAACAGTTTTACATTCCTCATCCTCTTTATTGATACTATTAACTTTACGAAGCTGTAGGTGACGAAAGAAATGGAAAGACATTAAGGTAAAGAAGAAACAAAGGATATGGTATTCAACTCAAGAACGTAAGTAGTCCTCAAATAACCACATTCCAATATATCATAATCAAAAAAGAGAGAAGAAAACCCTATAAATACTAAACTGCTAAATATCTTATCTTTATAATTCAGAAAAAAGAGCCTCTTTAGATTGTTAACTACTCAATACAAAGTGAAGAGATAACTGCCACTGAGAACTAGTATCAGGCCAGGTGCCGGTGGCTCACGCCCGGAATCCTAGTGTCTCAGGAGGCAGCGATCAGGAAGATTGTGGTTTGAAGCCAGCACCGGCAAGTAGTTCATGAGACCCTATCTCGAAAAAACCCTTCACAAAAAAGGACTAGAGGAATGGCTCAAGGTGAAGGCCCCAAGTTCAAGCCCCAGCATTGCAAAAACAAAAACAAACAAAAAAGAACCAGTCTCAATTTTATTATCAACTCTATGCAGGGTCCTCACATGTAATCACAAAAGCATTAGCATGGAATGGCTAAAAACGTATCTCTGTAGCTACGTATCTCTGTAGCTAGACTGCTTGGTCTAAATCCCAACTCTACCACCAGATTACCTTGAGCAAAAAACCTACAACCCCTATGACCCTCACTTTTTCTCTTCAGAGAAATACCCACCCCATTAGACTGGTGTAAGGAGTAAATCAACAGCTATAAAGACATGCCTGTATCATAGTATGTACATCATTACCATAGTTACCACAGCAACACAGCATTAAATACCAGCTATTGTTATTTACTAGGCAGGTGTTAGGATATAGACAGAATTAACAGTAGGCCAAAATTTGGCAATTTTATTACTCAGTCTAGATTTCAGTTTTCCTTTTTAAGGCTTCTGCTTGGTTTTCTCACCTGACACATTCTTATTAAGTCTTTATACCCATAATTTTTACCTTAAAATCCCTTTCACATTAAAAAAAAGTTTAAAAGAAATTTAGTGCAGAACGAATGATCCCTTAAAGAAGAAGTGAGATTCAACAAAAAGCATACCATTCCTACTCTATAAGACTTGAGTTTGAGCTACCTAGGATAAACCATTTAAGTTGCCTGACCCTTAAATCTTCTCCCAAGTAAAAATAACAAAAGTTTCTTAATAGTCTTATTGATGGGCTCAAAATAAAAACAGAACAATGTATGCTAGTGGTGCACCGGTGGCTCATACCTGTAATCCTAGCTACTAGGAGGCAGAGATTAGGACAATGGAGGTTGGAAGCCAACCTGGGCAAATATTCACAAGACTCTATCTTTAAAAAAACAAAAACAAAAACAAAAAACCTTTTACGGATTAAACAGCCCAAAGTAAAGCACACCCACAGTGGGCATACATTGAGATACCCCTTTGAATGTCAAATTAAATACTAATGACGAAAACAGGACTATAAAATGGCAGTGCGTGTAATGTTAAGGGGCTGAGGATGTAGCTCAGTGGTAGAATGCTTGAGGCATTCTACCACTTGTTAGATCCTCACTACTACAAAAAAAACTTTTTTTTTTTTAACATTCTACGGAATGGTTAAAAAGTAATGAATAAAATGCGAAAGAGAGAAAAATATTTAAAAAAAAATTAACCATGATAACCATGAGACAACCATCCAATCTGAAGCAGAAAATCATGGATGTGTGCTTCAAGAGGGGGATGGGGTGGGGAGAATAACCTCCTTTCTGTTAGCCTCTCCTCTCACTCCATGAAAACAAAACAAAACACAACAACAACAAAATACAACCCACACATATAACTTGTTTTGTGTGGCTAGCACACTAGCTTTAAAAAAATCAGAATCCAAATGTCTCTAACTTTACCTAGTCTAATAGGCACAAACATCTTTTGTTTTGAACACTTCCATTACTCATCTGACACTCAAAAAGGCATCTGGCATTTGAGTTTGCAAGTCTTCAACTGTGTGGAACATAACAGTATCCTAAATAAAAGCCACACATATGATCACTAAAACAACTGCAGCAGTGAGGGTCTTTGTTTTTTTCCTTACAGGTTAAAAGCTATTCAAGGGCAAGAGCTTTGTCTAAAATCTTCACACTTCCTGAAACATCTAGCACTGGCTAGTTCTTGCACGCAGCAGGCTGCTACCAGAACTGGTAAAAGGAAGATTTTTTTTTCTCTCCCACGTCTCAGTTCTAGGAATAGTTGTACTTCGCTAAAGCAATAATTTGTTTCTTCTTTATGGACAGTATCCTTTTGATTCCAAAGAGGAGGTTTAGTGGCTGACTTTAGCCTGCAGGTTTGTTTGATTTATCAGTACCATATTGGCCCAAATAGTATTTTAAAACAGATTAGTATCTAGTTTCTAAATATTAAGGTATTTCATACAAAAATCCCTATTTCTGATTTCCCTCTTAAATTAGCCAGATGACAAAGATCCATCTTCATCTCCAGATGGCAAAGATCAACTACAGGAGGAGAGTTTCTCCTCTCCTTGGGCAAGTGCACATTCTTTCTAGATGGAACAACATATTTGGGTAAGAGAACAAGCTCTAGACTCACTTTGCTGGGGTTTGCATCCTGGCTCTACTACTTTATTAGCTATTTATCTTGGGCCATATGACTTAATTTCCTAGCTTGATTTTCTTGTCTGTAAAATAATAGCAATACCTATTGAACAAGACTGAAGTGAGGATCGAATGAGTTGGTACATATAAGCACTTAGCAGAGTGCCCAGCACTGTACAAAGCAGTCAATAGCTGCTGGCATTTGTCATGTGCCTTACACTTACAGGCATTTGAGTTTTTCTATCCTATGTAACTGATGTTTCTTTACCCCAACTGCCAAAAAGCTCAGAGATGAATTTACAGCTCCCCTCCCCCCAGCAAGTATACTGAACCTAAGAAATACAGGTATAACTTCATTCTCTTTCTCCATTCTTGTTTTTGTAAAGCCCATTAAGATGTTTTTGAAAAAACAAAAACTCGTTAAAAAGGTTTCCTTCTAAGAACTAAATATGAGGCACTGCTTGACACTCCTTTTGCCTATAAATTTCTTATGCTGTAATGTACCTGTGTAGTAAGATTCTTAATGAGCAAAAACAACTCTTGTAGAGAATGCATCCCAAGTAAACAATAATACCTTTGTGGCTAAACTGATCAAGGCATTGGAGGAGGCCTGGGGTAAGCCTTAGCAACAGGAGGAGTGCTGACTCAGCAACCAATAACCCATACCCTAATGAAGCAAATCTAGTTTTGAATCCCAGATTCTAGAGATTACTAACTATAACCCTGGGCAAATTACTCCGAGCCTTGGTTTCTGTATGTGTAAAATGATACGCAGATATCCCAAAATGATACTGGAAGAGTAGTGTCCTGATTCCAGAGTGGACCCCAGGGGCTAAGCATTTGAAACCTTCTCTGAATTGTGGCCTATGTACTTCTTCCCTTGGGTGATTTTAACTTGCATCCTTCCTCTGTAATAAACTGTAACCGTGCAGATAAAAAACAATGATACACAAAGTAGTCTAATACACAGCTGTCTGACACAGGATGTCACAACATTTGGACCAAGTTAAGCTTCTATTCTGTGGTGAGGGGGTCGGGGATATAGCTCGGTGGTAGAGCGCTTATGTAGCATGCACAAGGCCCTGGGTTTGATCTCCAGTACCGCAAAAATAAGTTACAGAAAAACAAATGCAATTTCACGGTACATAACCTCCCTCATCAAGCTGTTCTGCACTTTCGTTTCCTCCTCTACTGTCCTTATAACCTGCTCTATCCCAATCATCCTACTTTTTACTAAAGGCCAAAACAAACGTCACTTTGCTTCTCGGTGTTGCAGTGACACTTTTCACCACGCCACTAAGCATGACTTGGACTAATTCGTCAAGTATGCGATCCCCTTCAGGACAGGGAACCTGGGTTCATCATCTTTGTCACTTTCCTGCTCCTTCTCTCGGCCCGCTGCCATGATTCATAAACGATTTAAAGACCCAAATCGATAGAAACAAACTCTGGTCTCGCCTGAATGTCGAAGCGGCCTGAACCTCTGGAAATTTACTAAACTAAAAGTGACCTAGACAGAATCCCCAAAAAGGCAGAAAGTCAAATGGGGAAGAAGTGACCATCTGTCTCGGGAGTCTTTGGCAATCTTTCGGGCGGGCAGATCAGGGGTCTCCCGGTCACGCAGGCACAGCCCGAGCTGGACAGACAACAAGGGGGTGCGCGCTCCAGCCCGCAGGCCCCCTGAGGCCTAAGCAGGCTCCACGCCGTGACTCAGCCCCTGGCTCCCGCCAACAGCCTGCCGGCCTCCCCTTACCTTGGCCAGCTTCTCGCACTCGGGCAGGCGCTGGTCCACCGTGGCGCTATAGTCCACCTCCATCTTGACGATACGCCCATCGGCCCGCTCCGAGCCGCCGTCCGCCATGGTGCTTGCCTAAGCGTCCCCTGCTGTCCCTTCTGTGCTTCGGCCACCACTCGTCACCCACACCGGAAGCCGCACGCGCAGTCAACTCAGGCAGTGCGCTGGAAGCCCGGGCGAAGGACCCCGCGAAGCCCCCGGCACGCACCACCAGTCAGGCATTGCTGCGGACAGCTCTGGAGGCGGGGCGTCGGGCGCGGAGGGCGGGACTCGCCGCTTGCCTCTGCAGCCCACGTCCGGTTTTGTCTGGTAGCCGCAGACTTATCTTGTAAAATTTGTGGTGACAGTAGCGAGTGTAATAGAAGAGGACAGCCTATGCCTTCTTACACCTCTGCTTCGACAAATGGGTTCTCAGAATCGTGGACAAGTCACTTCACTTTTCTTGGATCTTGGTCACTTTTCTTGGATCTTGGTTTTCTCGTCTGAACATGAGGACCCTAAAGGAAAAAGTTCTAAGGTTTTTTTTTTCTGGTTGAGAATCTTGGTGGCTTAATCTGTGGGATTTCTGAGTGCTCATAAGAGAAGATACGGTCGTAGCTCAGAAACATAAGCGGAGTGTTTCTTGTTTTCGTTTTTACTCTAATCCACTGAATCAGTAAGAAGAATCATGAAGAAGACATTTAGGATTTGTTATTCCTATAGGACCTTGTGAGTAGCAAACGAGATCACATATGTGAGACAATTTCAGTTCTTAAATTAAGAACTGTACAAGTTTATTTAGTATCATCTGTACTCTCTGAGTCCCTGTGACATAGCTTAGGATCCTAAAAACAAAACCAAACGAAACCTCAGGATCTATGAATGGAAATAAGGTTGTATACGGTGTGGTTATATGGTGAACAGTTGCTTGGAGCGCAAATGTGATTTAGTATATTAATGGTTCTGTATTTAATTAGCGCCAATTTCCTTTTATATGTCCTGAATAGACTTCTCTTTTTGTTGATACTGGGTCTGAACTCAGGACCGTGAGCCATGACCTCAGTCCTTTTGCCTTCAGTTTGGTTTTCAGATAGGGTCTCTGCTTTTGCAGTGATCCTTCTACCTCCGCTTCCCTAATTGTAGGTGCTACCACACCACGCTTGCTTTTGAGATAGGATCTCCATGACTTTTGCCTGGACTGGTTTTGAACTGTGATCCTACTATTTTTGCCTCCCAAATAGACCTTTCTGAACTGTCCTGCGATGAATTTATAGCCCATCTTTAAACACAACAAGACATTATTGTAAGTGTGATACAAAGGAAGAAAAAAATTTTAAAAGAGCAGACCCTGGGTTTGATCTCCCCAGCACTGCAAGTATACACACACACATACACACAAACACATAAACACACACATATATGTATATATAAATATATGTGTATAAATATGTATACATATATATCCCCCAACATGCATATAATGTATAATGTACATAATATATAATGCTGAGGTGTATAGCTCAGTGGTAGAACATCTGCTTAGCATGTGCAATCTCCAGGAGTGCAAAAAAATACACACACATGCTAAGAAAAAGTCTATAGTAGAAAACACAAAGGGCCTGGAAATGTAGCTCAGTGGTAGAATGCCTGCAGGCATAAGATTCAGTCTCCAGTGTGTGTGGGCAAAAGCTGCAACTGTGATAGGTGTGTTCTCTTGCTGCCTCAACCCCCATAAGGCTTACTGTTAGCAAAATGACTTTTCCAGAAGCTGAACAACTTTTTTTTTTGTTGAGACAGGATCTCGCTAAGTAGCTCAGGGTGTCCTCAAACTAGTGATCCTCCTGCCTCAGCATTCTGACTGCTAAGGTCACATGCACAACACATCCTGCTCCTGAACAACTTTTTGGTAAAGTTCTGAATATAGCAAATATAAAAATATAATTTTTATATTGTTTTTCATATAAAAGTCTTGGAAATTTCAGTTCATATTAAAACTGCAAAAAATAGCTTAGCATATGTAAAAACAAATTAGAATCTAGACTTCAGACACATCAGTAGGTGTCTGACAGGACACTGCAAAGTCTGATAGAATGTGGAACAATATTTTATTGTGTAAGCTATTCAGCATCTCAGTTACATGCTGGCACCTCCCTTTTCCCCCCAATGATTGTGACAGCCCCAAGTTCCCCTACACATTTCTAAAACACACCCTGGGGCCTGTGTGGTTGAGATGCACCAGGTTAAAATGCTCCCTCTCTATTCTGTTTGAAATTGGTTTGACTAGAATAGACAAATGAATCTGGAGGTTTAAATTTGGTGTGCTGACTTTGAGAAGGAGTGTGGTCCCTTTCTTTTCTCGCTTCAGTGTGCCTTCTTAGGAGGATCGTGGTTCAAGGCCAGCCCGGGCAACTATTGTTCATAAGACTCTCCCCCCCCCACACCCGCCATCTCCAAAAATACCTAAAGCAAAATTGACTGGAAGTATGACTCAAGTGGTAGATCACCTGCTTTGTAAGCGGAAGTCCTGAGTTCTGAGTTCCACCAGTCCTACCAAAAAAATAAATAAATAAGAGTGAGAGGTAGGTCTTAGAAAAAGGCAAATAGGAGCTGGGGGAAACTAATTGATTCCCAAACCAAACTCAAGCCTTCTCTCACTAGATTTAGAGATTTAAAATGAAGTGAATTAGCCAGGCACTGGTGGCTGTCTCCTGTAATCTTAGCTATTGAGGAAGCAGAGAGAGATCAGGAGGATCAAGATTCAAAGCCAGCCTGGGCAAACAGTTTGAGAGACCTATCTCTAAAAACCCTTGACAAAAAAGAGCTGATGGAGTGCCTCGAGGTGTAGGCCCTGGGTTCAAACTCCAGTACTGCAAAAAAAAAAAAAAGGAAATTGGAATCTAAGGAAACAATAAGTTAAAGAAGCAACTTATTAGAAGTCTGAGCAGTGGCCAGAAAAAATAGGTGAGAATACTGTATTATAGACAGATGCTTTGTGATTTTTTTTTTTTTTGGTGGTACTGGCATTGAACCCAAGCTTTGTGCACGCTAGGCAAGTGCTCTACCACTGAGCTACAGCCCAGGTCTGTGAATTTTTTTTTTTTTCAGTCCGGGGGCTTGAACTCAGGGCTTACATCTCTAGCCACTCCACCAGCCATTTTCGTGAAGGGTTTTTTTGAGATAGGGTCACAAACTATTTGCCTGGGCTGGCTTCGAACCGAGATTCTCCTGATTTCTGCTTCCTGAGTAGCTAGGATTACAGGCATGAGCCACAGGCACCCAGTCCTGGGAATTCTTTATTTGAGTGAATCTGAGATTAATTTTGTAGCTTTGTGCTACCAAGGGACCAGTTGTTATGCCTATAATCCTAGCTGCTCTGGAGGTAGAAACCAGGAGGATCGTGGTTTGAAGCCAGCCTGGGCAAACAGTTTGTGAAACCCTATCTCAAAAAATCCCATTGCCAAAAAGGACTGGTGGAATGGCTCAAGTGGTAAGAGCACCTGCCTAGTGTGAGGCCCAGAGTTCAAACCCCAGTGCTGAAAAAAAAAAAAATTGAAGCTTTGTAGTTTCAGAAGAAAAAAAATTGGCACAACGATGAGAGAGGCCGGGCACCCGCAGCTCATGCCTGTAATCATAGCTACTCAGGAGGCAGAGATTAGGAGGATTGCAGTTCAAAGCCAGTATGGGCAAATAGTTCTCAAGACACTATCTCAAAAAATTCCATCACAAAAAAGGGCTGATGGAGTGACTCAAGGTGTAGGCCCTGAGTTCAAACCCCATTACTGAAAAAAAAAAAAGAAGAGGAAGAAATGCTGATAAAAAAAAAAAGAGTTCATTCAGAGAAAACAGTGGAAATGGTATTATGATATTCATTATTAAAAATTATGTGCCCATATGTTAATAACTAATATTTACTATCTTTTTTCTTTTCTTTTTTTGGTGGGACTGGGGTATGAACTCAGGGCTTTACACTTGCAAAGTAGCCATACCTCCAGTCTATTTTACTCTAGTCATTTTGGAGATGGGGTCTTATAAACTATTTGCTCAGGCTGGCCTGGAACAGCAATGCTCCCAATCTCAGATTCCCAAATAGCTAGGATTATAGGCATGATCCACTCCACCCGGTGGTATTTTTTTCATATTTAGCATTTCTGGCATATTTACTTTATTGACTGTGCACACATCACACCAAAGCTACTGCCTTTGTGAAGTGAACATTCTAATTGGCAAAATCAGAAAATAAACCTGTGAATATGTGCCAGGGAGGGGAAGTGATAAGCATTTGGGAGATGGTCAAGGCAGGTGTCACTAGTAAATCAAGACCTGAAGTAAGTCAGGGAGCATGTCGTGCAAGTATCTGGGGCTGAAGATGCCAGGAAAGGCTGCAGCAGGTGCAAGAATTCTGAGATCAGTACCATCAGATGGATGGATGAATAAGGAGATTGGATTACTCAGATCTCCAGAGGGCAGAATGAGTGAGAGCAGGAAATGCAGGACGTGAAGTTCACAGAATTGGCCCTTCTGAGGAGTCAGATGGGAAGCCAGTGAGGGTTCATGGCAAAGGTGTGGCATGAGGACTTACATGTTAAAAGAACCAGTTTGGGGCTCAGAGATGGAGTACTTTGGTGGATGTCATGTGGTGACTAAATTGAGGCAGAAACTGGGAGTTGGGAGGTTATTGCAGTAATCCAGGAGGAAAATGATGGTGATATGGACTTGGGTGGGGGCACTGAGGTGTTGAGAAGCAGCTGGGTTCCCCATATAATGAAGATCGAGCCAAGATAGGATTTGCAGGAGGATGTGAGAGAGGAAAGGTTAAACATGTCTGCAAGAGTTTTAACCTGAGTGTCTGGTGGGATGGAAGTGCAATTTACCATGAAGCAGCAGATTAGGGAGAAGTCAGGCAGGAGGGAAGAGAAGCAGCTCCATGGGAGCTGTTTGAGGTGTCCATTGGATATCCAAGGGACATTGTCAAGAAGGTAAGCAGACATGTACACATTTCACAATAAGGGAAGTCATTTTGGCTAGAGATTTGAAGTTGAGACTCATCACTGTGTTGATGCTATCTAAAGCCTTACAGAAATGTTTCTGAAATGTTGTACATAAGGTATTTGTTTTTGTAAATTGCCTATTTTGAAGGCAATTAGGGGAATTGCTATTTTAAAGCCTGTTGTGAATCATTTGGTAGAGGAATTTTT